TTTATTTTAAAAGGGTTGGGTATTTGTTATGTAAAATAAATGATTGGAGAAATAAGTTGCCAGGTTTCCTACTTAAGTTTTCTGAGTGATATAATTGGAATTAAATTATTAATGGGAGATACTTTTAGAAAGATTGTTTTATGATCTTCTATTAGGGAATTTGCAATTCATTTTAATATTTGTAGTTTGATTTATATTAAAGATAATGCAATCTATGTCCAATTAACAATACATGGCCAATGTAATGTGATTTCCAGATCATGCAAATGGAATAAGCTAGAAGAGGGGGGAAAACTCAATTCTTAACCTCAGATGTAATTTGCTGTGCGAGTTCTGGCAATTTTAAATGACATTGCACTTTTTAATTTTTCCGAAGGCTCAGCAGCAAATTTATCCCAATCAAGAAAGCCTATTATTAATTTACAAGGACAATTGTAGGAGTCTCTATAATTTCTCTCTGCAATTATTCGCCCTAAATCGCTAATGGTAAAACACAAGGAGTTTGTAAGAAATAAGGACTATTATTTGTCTTGGGCTTGAACCCTCTTCTTCAGGCTTGAACACCTTCCCGAAGTATTGGGGAGGTGAGCTCCCGCAAAGCAGCACTTGCAGGGTAAGCGCAGGACTGTGTTCTGAAAAAGGGGGCAGCACAGGAGCTGCTGCAAAGCAGATCCCGCACTCGGCATTACAGCTGAGCTGTGGGTCTGGACTTTCATATAAAAAGACTCTTTGTTCACCACTGAATGGCATTAGGCATGGACTTGCTGAGGGGCCACCATGAAGCCTCACATGAGGAGGGCAAACACTAGCCAGAAAACACAATATCAGAGTCATAGACAGACATCCCTGCATTTTGTGCAAAAATGCATATTTTTTGACGCATAATTTTGCCAGTAGTTTGGTGTTTTGGTGTGTTCCTAGCATATGCTTTCTAGTTGATAGACCAAAATACATTTTGTTTTCTCAGTGTATTTTCTCTGTCTGTCTGCCTATCTATCTATCCATTGTGTGCTTATGGGATTATGTTGAATATATAGGTGTTTGTGGTATTATTTTGTACTGGGAAAGATATTCAAGTATCTTTATTATTATATCTGTCACTGTAATAACTAGATCATTTTCTTTGCTTTAACGCTTCCTGATATAAACTCACATAAAGCCCAGTTAAAATATACTATACGATGTAAATACTCAAATCCAGAAGACACAGAATCTGACAGCCCTGTTCTAATAATGGAGAAAATTCTTTGGTTTAATTCTTGTGTTTCTTGTAGCCAAAACTTCACTCTCCACTCAGCAATGTCTGGTCTCTTTTCAGCATCACCAACAGAAGCACCATACAAAAGTCTTACAATGGATGTCTTAATCTCTCTGTGTGCTTTTAGAGCATTATTTTGAATTCCATCATGCTGCCTTTTTTCTTTCCTCTTCTGAAGTTTTATTACAACAGTAGAATTCCCAGGGAGCTTTGGGGGCAAGGTTCACATAATATAGCCCTGAAGTTTTGCTTAGGTGGAATCTATCCCCCAATCTTGGCCATCTTTTGATGATCTTTCTATTTCAAAAAGATTCACTGGGTAGCATCTTACAGCATTAGCTGGATGCAGTTTATTTTTTATTTTTTTATTTACTAGACAGTGAGCATCTATAACCCTTTCATGATGCTTTCTTTCTCTGACCTCACAGTGACAAGGCATCTTGTTCTTTAACATTGAGGGAGGCAGGAAAATGCTTGAGTTGCTCAATGTGTGCCTTCTATACCAGTTTCAAAATGGCTTATTCTTCTGGTTTCCATGGTGACAATTAACACTGTTTCAAGGCATTGTTCCAGTCTCCATTTGGGCAGAATTTGCGATGTGATTTTTAACAAAAAAAAAAAAAGGTTTTAAGAGGGAAAAAAGCCTTTAGCAGAACTGTCAAAAAAGTTATCTCAATCAAGTCTTCATGCATTTCTAATTATATTTACTTCAGAAATCCCCATTTTTGCTGGCTTTGTTTTATAATTTAATTTTGGCATTTGTGCTTTTAAAAAGTAAGTACGGAGTACAAATTTTCTAAAAACTTCTTTAGTACTTAGTTAAAACAGCAGTCTAGTGTTTGTGGTTATTTTGAACTGTTTTTTAAAGTTTTCTTTATATATCCTGTATATACACAGAAGTGGCATTTGGAATGGGAGTGGCCTGTGTCTTTAATTTAGATCATTCACATATCTATTAGGAGGCTTCGGCAGTCAAAATTAAATTGGCCAAGCAAATACACTTAATAATGTAAATATGCCCTTTCAATAGAGTATATTTTATTTTTGACTAGACAGAGAAGCCCAGCACAGGTGCTGTGGGGAAATTAAATACTGGATGCTTATTTACCTTAGGACTCAAGAAAAGCCATCTAACTTTAGCTTTGCTGCTCATTTTTGGCTATTGAAGAGTAGTCTAGATCACAACATCCACAGACTTCAGGACACAGTGGGGCAGCCTTGACTCACTTACTGCTGTGGGTGAAATTAATATGAAGATTAAATGATCTTCTCACCACAGGAGAAAGTAGCCCTACTTGATAGGATGACCAAGAACTGAGAGAGCTGGCGGTTGATTCCTCCTGTCTAATGCTTCTGAAGAGATGGAGAGAGAAGAGCAAAGCCATACCAACATCAACCCAAATGTAACCCTTCTGGCATCATTACATATACAGCTTAAGGCCCTAAATCATATCTGATTCAGCTTTCAGAGCGCTTCAGATAGTAAGCATTTTCACCTTAAATTACAGGACATTCTAGTACCTTTCATGCCCATTTACCCATACATCTTACAATTAGCTGGATTCTCCTAGCTTTTATAGTTTGAAGGCTTTGTCCATCAATCACATCTTTCATCAGGCTGTTTATACAGTAGGTTACGTGGTGACAAAACAGAGAGCATACATAAGACACTTGTTTGTTTTTTAAATGTAATAACCTTCTATAATAGCTGTTGCAGTGACTACTTGTACTACATTTCACAGAGAAAATTATTTTATGTCTAAAATGAAATTAATTGCTTTTTGTAGTTTTATTATTACAAGACTGTCATGTTTATGAGACACATCAAAACTGTTTTCTTTCTTGATTGATCTGCTGTGTAGGAGCTGTTCCAAGTTGGGGTAAAGCTGGGGGTGAGCTTGTCATAGGTGAATGTGATAACTAGTCCAGGCCACTCCCGGGAGACACAGCTGGAGCACTCCCTCTGCCAGTTAATGCACGTGGCATAAGCTAAAGATCTGAATAGGATTCTTCTGCCTGCCTGGAATGCTGGTTCCCCGTATTATCATGTAAATCTTTGTTATCAGCATCATCTTTGGATGGGTATCTGACTACAGAAAGCAGATTGCCCTCTCCTCCAATCGTTGCTCTAACAAATAAAACACTATGTAGCTTTCTAGAATACTTGTTCAATGTTGGGTCCAGCATGCTTGAGTGGACATTGGTTTTTCTAAGTGTTGAAGTAACGTGCTCCTGGTAATTGTCTGCTGTTAGAAAGCACAATCAGAATTTCCCAGGTATCACAGGCCAAATGATGAAAGCGCTCTAAAGCAAACCTTAATTTTTTTCATCATGCGTATTCATGTAATTTTGGATACCCTGACACCCTGATCAACATTTGTTAATACTATGAAATGCTTCCAATCACATTATTTAAAATATTTTGTTCTGTGCGCCACAAATGACTAACATTTGGAGAAGTTTACATAATACAAATAATGTGCATGCTTAGTGCAAATGAAAGATTAAAATATGAACCAGAAAATATGCAAACATTTGCATGCAAATGCTGAGGATCTATTAACCGAAACAAGGATTTCACACCTTCTTTTTCTTTAAGCTGTTTCCAATTGTATTTAATTTGGGATCTGACACAATATCATGTTTTCAAGGTAAATAAAATCAACCAACTGCTTGGGCAAGTTTTGAACTTGCTGATTTGCTACTTTGCTCAGACAAATGCTTTTCTTATTAGATCTGATAAAGCCTCATCGCAGCTCAGTCAGGGCAATGGAGCAACACTGTCAGTGGCCTGACTTTATGCCTCAATGAAATAAATTTTGGGATTATCATTATATTTTTGAAATGTGCTAAAATTGTGGAATTTGTTTAATATTTTAACCAGAATTTAGTTTTTCTTCTTAGAGATGTCTTTATGTATATATTTAACAACTACAGCCATAGTCATTTATAGCTGTTCATCATATAGGACTTTCTCACTATGAAGTTATCCAAATAGTTATTTGAAGAGAATCACCATGGTAACTGTCATATTAAGTAGCACCTACGTTATCTGTAGCAAACATCTTTTAGGAGAGACTCACTTGGCAGTGTGGTGGAATACAAGGTATGCTGGGGGAGAGGGTTCTGTAGTCAATTGGGATGTTTGAGAACATTTTACAGTATTCAATAAGGAAGCATAGATTTGTAACCATTCTTAAATCACTGGTTTTCTTTTTCCTCTCTAGATGTACCCCATCTTCAAGCCAACACAGCGTTTTTAAGTAAAAGAAAAATGAAAACGAAAATCTTAACTGCGAATTCAGAGAACTTATAGGATAAGGAGGAAGTCACACAATCTTGAGGGATCATTTTATTTGTACCTTTGGGGACAGAGATGACAGATGGGCAGCACTCTGGAGCCAAATGTTGACCAAAATTAACTGAATATTAGCTCCCCTTACTTAGACCATGTATTTTCCTATTCAGAATATTTTAAATTGGAGATCAAATGTGTGTGTGAACTTTAGTTTAAAAAGACATAAATCTTAGTCAACTACATGGAATGAATAACTTGGATGTTCGTGTATGTGTGAGTAATATATATATTTGTAATGATCTTCAGCAATGTTCCTCCACTACTCAAGTTATTTATGTTTAGTCTCCTCACAAATATTCTTGGAAACAAAAACTTTTAACCCCCATGAGCATCACTAGTGCTGTGCTCAAAGATTATCTAAGACCCTCTCTCTTCTTGTTGTAGCGATACAGCGTGGAAATGTCCATCCGGGGCCTGAAAAAGACAGAGCTGCTGAGTAAGGTGGAAGCTTTGAAGAAAGGTGGCGTTTTACTACCAAATGATCTCCTTGAAAAAGTGGATTCAATTAATGAAAAATGGGAACTGCTTGGGGTATTTGCATTTTTATTACTGTTTGTAGGCTATGTGTACATTTTTTGTGTAGTAAAGTACTCTATCTGTCTGATTTCTAATTTGAGGCACAAATATCTCTCTCTTTCAATTCACTACCTACATTTCAAACAAGCTATCATGCTATTATGGCTGAAAAACACTGCTTTTCCTCTTCTGTTGATTTTTTTTTTTACTCTCAGCTTGTCTCCTCTCAGATTTTAATAATTTTGGTTCTTTAATACATAAAGAAGTAAGTAAAATATGCCATGTATTATGGGTATGCACCAAGTCAACGATAATACAGTATATCTGATATACACTGCCTGTCATGCTTGAATGCACGTTAATAGAATTTATTCTGAAGGTACATGTTAGAGACATCACTGTTTAACTCTTTCCTGGACCCTTCCGGTGGAAAGTGCAGTTGTCACTACAACCTTCAAGTCACGCGAAAGCCACTAAAACAAAGATGCAAATTTGACCCAGATCTGGATTGCAGAATTAAATTGGTCTCTGTTTTGTGCCTCAATTTCCAGCTCCCTTTTAACAAAAGCCAAAAAAAAAGTTTCATGTAATTCATTTCACGCAATGATGGGCTGGGTCTCAGCCAAAGACTGAGATGCAAGAATCTGGCAAAAGGGCAATATAGAGGCTCCGTTAGCCAGAGGCCAGGATGGCTGTGCAGGAGGCAGTGCTGTCCTTTTGTGGAAGACAGCTGAGAGAGAGAGGTTAAACAGTATTTTTTCATCAACTTCTCTCTAAATTGCCTTCACTTCAAATCAAGGGTAAGCTAAATTTGTCAATTACTTAAATGATTAATTATAATAGCTAAGTATGGGTGGTGTCAGTTATGGAGCCTAATTTTGCATGCCTTCCATTTCCTGTCTTTTTTTTAATTTTTAAAGAAATAATGCTCCAAAAATATTTTGAATTAAAAGCTCTCCGTGTACCTGATGACTTGGAGGAGTGCCAGTGCTCAGTTTCTGCTGAGCTTAATCTAGGTGATTAAAAAGCTGAGAGTTTAATCCCCGCTTTCTCATCTAAATTCACTACACTCTGCGAGTGTGCAAAGTAACTTAAAATGTTAGAAGTTTTTACTCTGACCTATTGTTACATTACTTTTTAATAGTAATTAATGGCTTTCACATTGTCATATGGTGATTTAAATCAGAACCTTCTAAATTCTACAGAATTCCTTGATCTCTTACAGGAGAAATATGGGACATTTTAAAACATTGTTCCCTAAATAAGGACAGCAACTTTAGGTGCCTGATAGATAAAGAAATAGTTTGGTTATATAGAAATAGAACTATATCTTTTTCTAATTTGATCAATAACTAACAATAATCTTTCTTTGAAAATTGTTTAAAGTATGTCATGTATATTGCTTTCTCAACAAAAATTTAAATCAACATAACATTAAATACAGAATATTTAGTTATTCTTTATGAGTCAGAGACCTTAAAACTGGTTGCCATTTTGACAATAACACCATTTGAATACAATATGCAGAGTTGTGTAATGATTTAGGGAGCGAGAAGGGTGGAGGGAAGGTTTGAATAAAACCTGTGCCACACTAACACCACCAGGCCTGCCACTCTAATTGGCATGATTACATTTTAATTGGCATGAAAAAAAATTTAAAGACAAGGATTTTAACTTCTAACAATAGTAAAATAGAGGGATATGGTTTTTAATATTACTTTCATCTAAGGTGAACAGTGTGGAATGGAAATACATTAGAATGAAATGTCAGTGGTGCGTACAGTTTAATCTGTGAAATTTTGTCCCCTGTGCTGCATATTACTCTGTCTCAATTGCATATTAAACAACCCTATCAAGGCAGGCATTGGCATCTGCTGTGCTGACACAAATTGTGAATTAAATGAAATTGATGTCCTCTGTCGTATATTTATGAAGACGGACCATTCTCTGAAGTATTCTGTTTATGAAGAATTTATGATTGCAAACTGTTCCAGAACAAAAAAGTGGCAATAAATTCTTTTTTGTGACCCTACCCTCCAAGGGCATTGATTTCACCTCCTGCTGCTACTTTTGTTGCAGCATAAAAACAATAGCTAAATCGGGATTCTACTGAGGGTCTTCAAATTATCAATATTTGCACCATGAAAATATAAGCGTGTTGGCAAGAAAGGTTATTTTTCTGTTATGATCTCCTAAAGATGCTATTTACAGAACACTACACAGCAGCTGAATGTTTGTTGACTTAATTTTATTTGTGTTTTAAAGGTTATTTTTTAGGTTTAATTCGTCAATATAGATTAACTCCTACTGATTCTCCAAAGGGAGTGTTTTCCACAAAAACAACACAAAAAAGCCCTCCCTGACTCCACCTTCATGACAGAGTAGTTAATCGAAGAAGGCACTAGCATCGTGGATTGGGACTGATTTTAATACATATATTGGAAAGTCTAGCACCCACAAATGCAAAGTGGGGAAAATTGTGGGGCTGAACAATTTCCAAGTCCGCTAAAATGAACAACAGCACCAAGGAGTCTACCCCTTCTTAACAGCCCTCCGTCATATGGTTTGGTGAATTGTACTAAACAAAACCAAAAAAAGGAATTTAATTCTTCATGCACAATCCTCTCTTGGCCTCTTTAGTACATTGATTAAACTCAGACTTCCATCTCCTGAAAATTTTATGCAGAGAATTTTTTCCTACAAACTCGCATTATGAGAATTCAAATGAACTTTTATCAGTGACCATGGTGAACTTTTGGGTCAAATCTCCTTTCTGTTAAAGGAAACTCTAAGTGAATGAGGTCTTCTTAAGCCACTAGTGGTAGTCAGAACAACACACATTGCGCAAGAATTCAAATCCTAAATGGAACAGGGAGCTAATCTGAATGAATGTTAGTGGTGGGATGGCAGGTGTGGCTGGACACTCTCCAGGAGTTTGTGTCACCAGCCAAACTGTGACACGGTTTTGGTGCCCAAGCTAATCTGTGTTTTTACTTTTGTTGGTGTTTTTTTTTATTTTTGTGTTTGTTTATAATCTGATGCATTAGAAAACGCTGGGAGAGAAGATCCAGGACACAATGGCAGGGCCCCGTGGGTCGGGGCCACGTGACCTGCTCTCGCCTGAAAGCGGAAGCCTGGTAAGGCAGCTGGAGGTCAGGATCAAAGAGCTGAAAGGGTGGCTGAGAGATACAGAGCTTTTCATCTTCAATTCCTGTCTGAGACAAGAAAAGGAAGGAACAATGAGTGCCGAGAAACAACTGCAATACTTTCAGGTAATAAAAAAACAATCAGAGTTGATAAAAAGCTTTCTTTATGGTAGGGATGAAATATTTATCAAGTACATAAAGTATTATACCCATGTATCTATGTATCACTGTGCACTTAAATGTTTCCTTGAATTTATAGACACCCTCCACATTTCTTATGTGCCAGCGCCTGTGTGTATAAAGATGAACGTTAAGTGTATCAAATACTCATTGGATGGGGGGAGCTCTGCTGCTGCTGGTGTGTTTTGTGCAGTGCTTGTGGAGGGGCGGCTTTGATAAATTAAAAGCAGACCAGCAAACACTAAACGTGATAATTTTGAAAGGCAGACCTAAATGTTCTATAAATAATGTGGCTAAAATTACTTCTGTACATTGATACGATAAAAGCACATGATTTAACTGATGACCATTAATGCTAACAAAAGGAAACCTACTTTTTACATATGAAAGCATCAACTACTCATGGAGGGAAGAAATCAAGTAAAAGAGGTTCCTACATGATAGGCATATTCCATCGTAGACAAATGCCAACCCTAGTAATGCAGCCGTGTGTGTGTTCACTGTATGGATGTTCATGAAGAAGAGCGTGTCCCCCTGTTTGTTTCCGTGGTCTACACAATAATTTTTCAAAAACAGTTTAAAATTCACATGTTTTCCCTTGCTGCCCATGCTGGCCTGGACTGCTTGAACCCTCTCGTAAGGCAGTCATTATCTGGGCTCTTGGTGGTGTCAGCCTGAAGCTTTGGGATTGTAGAATATGAGTTTGGTAGCAAGAAACCTTGTGACATGGAAGTTCTTAAAGAGGAGAAAGGGGAAAACTAAGAAAGAAAGAATCTCTTGGGACCAAGCAACTGTTTCTTCACAAGGCCTTCCAGGACCAGGTTTTATTCATTTCACACCCTGTGCCCTGCAGTCTTCCAGCAATCTATTAGGGAATTTAGAAATAGTCACATTGGCTCACCTTCCCTCTGCCAGACATGCAGGGCACCTTGCTCACCAGCAGAGTCCAAGAGAAAGCACCCTCAAAGGTGAGACCACAGTGCTTCCCACGAAACTGACACCTACAGCTTATTTTGGTTGAAAACCTCCTCTTCTGCCATTGAATTGGCAAGACCAAACTGGCAGTTAAAAGATAGCCTCTTGCCAAGGCAGATGGGTTTTACTGTCTAAAATCCAATATCCAGATGATTTGTTATTTCATCTCTACTTGTCTCACCCTAACTAACTCCTGTTACAGGGAGGTGGAATCTTCAGATATTTCCCTCTGTGTTGATTGAACTTAACATGTACCTTATAAAGCATCCTGGTTATTAGTAGGCAGGATGTTGTGAAATAACATTACAGTGGGGCCTTGACTTACAAGTGTCCCAACTAACGAGTTTTTCAAGATATGAGCCGATTTTTTTCGGGTTATGAGCCAGCTTCAGATACCCCACTGCTAGTTGGCGCAGCGAACGTCACAGTGAACGCCACAACATCAGCCCAGCATCACGTGTCTCACTCGTTCACTTTAAGTTACGAGCTCCATCACGGAACGAATTAAACTCGTAAGTCAAGGCCCCACTGTATTTTCTGTATGGTATCTATATTGTAGCTTTAGTGAACTGGTTAATTGCCCCAGCCAGTTGTGTAATCTTGGCCATGTTTCTTGTATGATCGCTTGGTGCATCAGTTTCTTCATCTATAAAATGGGATGCTGCTAGTATTTATCTCACAGGATAACGAGTTTACATATGTAAACTATCATTTCTACTTTTGTAATGGTGCATTTGCAAGGGGTCAAAATATCTTAACATAAGCTCAAAAATGTCACATAATAATTAGAAACAGTAACAGGACATTTGTTATTATAGATATTTCTATATCTACCTTTCTACCCACATATCTCATACATAGATATTTGAAATCAACTTTTTTTTTTTTACATTTACTATTATTATAAACTAGAGGCCCAGTGCATGGATTCGTGCACTGGTGGGAGGCATGGATGGTCAACCAAGAGGCTGTGGACCCGCCCTCTGAGCAGCTGCTTATCCTGGTCAGCCAAGCAGCGCTCCCACTGTGGGGGGCACACTGACCACCAGGGGGAAGCTCCTGCTTTGAGCATCTGCCCCCTGGGGGACAGTGTGCATCATAGCAACTGGTCAACCAGTCATTCCAGTCATTTCACTGTTCGGTCACTGGGCTTTTATATATATAGATGAAAACATAAGCAGTTCTGCATTAATTTAGCTGATGCTTCCAAAGGACATTAGATTTATGTTTTAGCTTTGTATAGTGTCATCGAATCATTCTCAGCTAGGTCCTAGTAAGAAATGTGAAAGAGTTTAAAAGATGGAAAGAGAGACAGAGGGAAGCCATGCTAGACTTCTAGATCATTAGATAGCTCCTAGGAGTCCTAATGATTTGCTAACACTTTCTAACCATAAGGGGAATATTCACTACACCTAATTCATTATTTACCATGTGCTTCTTAGGGCCTGAAAATAATCATAGAATTTTAATTTCAAAAGTACCAAAGACTATCACATGCTTTTTGCTATTTTACTTCTTTTCTTCAAAGATATTTTTCCTTAGAGCATTTTTATGTTGTTAGTGTCACTATTTATTAAACTAACTGCTCTTATACCCCCTCTTATTTATTTAGCTATTTAAAAAATAATATAATAAATTCAGAGACTTTCCTACCCCAAACAAAAGGTAAGACCATGAGGGTAAGGTTACTGGCAAGATGCTAAGTCCTGGGTACTTATCTCCTTGAAGGAAAGATTTCAGTCAAGAGGCAAAGGGCAGCAAAGGAAGCAAGAATTTATTGGCTGCAGCAAAACCACACTCAGGACAGTGAAACAAGCAAGCGTTTAGAAAAAGCAACAGGAGAGCCGAGGTGGGGCTGCTTTACCTCACTGGGAAGTCAGAGAACAGGGGCCTTGGAGACAGGTCCAGGGGGTTAGCCCAGGAGGAGCTGCCACTGCCCACTGCTCCCCTGGGTGCAAGTCTCCTGGGGTCCCTTAGAGTTTAGGGGATATAGTGTCTGTGGGGGAAGAAGAAGGGGAAGGGAATGGCAGGAGTGTGCTCCCCTGGGAGAGAAATCGAGCTGGGTCCTTGGTGTTGAGGGTATTTATCTCTCTCTTGCAGGTGAGAATCTTAGGGAGGTCTCAGGAGAGGTCTCAATGGGATAGTCATCAGCTTTCCAGGTGTGCTCTTTCAGGGCCATGGTCTCTACTGGTTGGTCAGCTCTAGAGCTGGAGGTCATTAGTTAATGCAGCTGTTCCTGAGGCAGCCAAGGTGTCACTTGTCTGGTTTTGCTGCTTTTCTGGGCCTGGAGCTGAAATACAAATGAGGCCTCGATGTTATCTCTAGGGAGGAAAAGGTCAGGGTGACTACCCCTCATGACCAGCGATATGCTAGGATAGGAAAGGTCCCACTAAGGACAAGGTTCTTGTTTTCCCAGTTTTGCCCCTTGCTAGGCACACAGGGCTTTCTGCCCTGCTGACCTGAACCTGGCCCATGGTCCTTGCTCTGCTCATGTCTGTCTAACTGCCTGTAGCTGTTAGGGATGCCTCACCATATGGTTTCCCCAACCCAAGTCCATCCTCTGCTCTTCTCACCTAAGGTAATCATGTTCCTGGACCCATAGTCTTGATTTCACTTGCTTTCCTTTGACAGGGAATGCTATTTTAATTTTAGTTGTTTTTGACTTTATTAAAAGATATCATGCTGTGTTACTTTTAGGATTTCCTTTTTAATTTAATATTGTAATGCCAATATTTATTTGTGTCCCCAAGTATGGCTATCATTCACTTAATTTGACAATTGTATAATATTCCATTGTGAGAAATACATGCATCTCACCTAAGGCTCATAGCAACCTCTGAAGTCGGTATGAGGATCCTGATTTTGCAGATATGGAAAGAGGCACATGGGCGGACGTTACGTTTCGTGTGTCCAAGGTCACTTATAGTGAGTGACAGAATTAGGTTTTAAATCCAGGGCCGTCTGACTCTACAGCTCAGTCTCTGAACTACTATGCAAAACTGATATTTACTGATATTTACTGAATGCCCTTCCGTGCACGGTGACTCAAAAAGAAGAACAGGACACAATTAAATGTCATTGTTTCTTTCTGGGAGGTTTATCAGTCATAGTCTTCAGCAATTTAGCCAGAATTGTAAATAGCTTTAGCTACTGACGATTCGGGGAGTTGAAAAGATTTGTGTTTTCTTTTACATTTTTGTACTAGGTCAGTGTAAATTTTCTTGCCATATGTCATTTTAAAAAATTGAAACTTTGCAATCTTTCTTTGAGATTAGAGCTCTGACGAATTTTCTTTGTGGCCAGAAACTCTAGTCCCTTCTAACATGTTGACCTTGAAACATTTGATCAGATAAGCTAAGTGGATCTAACATGATAACACTTCTTTTAAAGAAAGCGTTATGCACATCTGTTAGAATAAATGTCTTTCCTACCAGCATTTTAAATATTTCTGAGCTGTTTACCCTTTAGCACTTAGTGTGATTAATCAAGTGTTCCATATATTACCACTTTCATTGGAAGAATGAAACCAAATGTTTGTAATACAATAATAATGTAATGTTTATAAACTCTCAAAATTGTAATTGGCAAGCTTATGTAGAATAAAAACTTTTTACTTACTACAAATTCAAAGAACAGATACCCTCTGCCTTTCTAAGTGACAGAGCCACTCAGGTAGGAGAGTCTTTAAGGATGTTTATGTGTGGGGAAATGTTTGCCATGTTCTGCCTATTCTTGAGAGTTCCTAAATGTTCCTGCCATTATAGGTCACACAGAAGACAGGCTTTATCTACCGGGTTCAGCTTTATGATTCTCCATTCTCTAAAATCTCAGACTTTTAACAGAATCAATTCCTTTATATATCACCCAGAGTCATGATAGATAAGCCACAGTGCACTGCCCAGGAGAGCTGAGGGGAGGGTGCTGCATATAAACAGGAAGACCCTTCGCCCTGTAGACACAGTTTCCATCTC